TTACTCCACGTCAGAAACAGTGAAAAGTGCCGGGGAGGAAGGTGCTTAGCCGCAGTAAAGGGCCTTGCCCTTCTGAGCTGTCTCCCCGAGTCCCGAGGCGCATTGAGACCTGCCCCTGAACGTCGAGCCCGCGGGCTGCGCAGGAATGAGTCTGTGACTCCAAGCTGGGTTTTCCCACGTGAAGTTAAGGGGCTTGTGGCCTCCTAAGCTCTTGGCCTCTAAGTTCTGTGTTAACTGACCCCCATCTTTTTCTTTTTTTTTTTTAATAATCCTTAAAAATGGGATTTAAAATCAAAACATTTAAAGTTTGGCCCTTCCGTGCTTCTCTCCCAGCTTCCTTTCCGAAGGCTTTCTGCATACCCATATTCTTCATTTACGCGGCTCGGTCTGTATTTCAGGATGGGGGTCGGGGAGGAAAGAAACGAAAGTGTGACCCCGACTCTCACCTGGGTCCGCCAAGTTCAGCCCCACGAGCCGCGTGTGTCCCACAAACCCCTGCCCCCCGCAGCCAGGCCCGCGGGCGGAGGGATTAAACCAGTACTGAGACTTTGTTTTCTTACCTGCTGGCAATTCTCCTGTAAAGATAACTTGGGGGGCGGGTGTGAGGGGTGTGTGTGCGTGTGCGTGTGGGAGCGTGTTTTTTTTTTTTTTTTTTTACAGTGGCTGTCTAAAGTATTTTCCACAGTACGTGTAATAATCAGTGCTTTAAAAGCGGTGGTACCCATACGGTGGAAACCAGCTCACGGGATCGAAGGCCCCGCCGCGCTGCTGGCTTCTGCCGCCTGTGCACGCGTGGGCCCGCGGGAAGCCCCGGCAGTGGCAGGGAGCCAGCGGTCCCGTCTTCAGAAAGACGAGAGGCCCACAGCAGCCGGGCCCGCCTGCGTTTTCATTTCAAATGGGATACAGTATTTTTTTAATAAGGAGCCATACTTTTTTTTAAAAGTTTGAGATCTGAATGTGATTTCTAATTGTATCAGACATTAATGTTTTAAAGCTATAACAAAGTTTAAAATTTCTACTTGTTTTCCACTTATTTTAACTGTCCTTTTATCTATTAAATTGTTGTATGTGGGTGGGGAAGTTCTGTTTCTCCCCTTAGCATTTGTTTCTATAACCAGAAATAAAATTATATATTACAGAAACGAGCCCGGGGCTCCATGTGGTCCTTGGGAGTGGCACCTGGAGGCAGACGGGTGGATGGGCAGATGCCTGGACACGCAGCCCCCGTGGGCTCCCTGGAGGGGGGCGCCTGACCCGAGGGGCGGCCACTGGGAAAGGTGTGCGTTTGCCTCTTGTGCTCAGCGGCCCCCTCCGGGGAAGACACAGACTGTCAGGGGAGGCGCCCGTGATTTCCTGGCCTCAAAGAGCCCCAGCGAGTTCTCTGAATCCGAGTGTCTGCACCCCAGGGACAGGAAGACCATTCCCATCGGCCCCCGGACGTGGACAAGCTGGCGGAGCCTCGCCCTGCACCCAGGCACCAGGAGCTCCACTGGGGGTGCCCATGGCTGCCTCTGCGGCTGCGCCTGTGCACCCACGAGGAGCAGACCCTGGACAGCTGGGGGTCCCTCCTGCGGCACTCGGCTGCGTGAGCCTTTCTGCCGCTGTGCGCTCTTCGTCTCTTAGGCCTTGTGTGTTCTGGGTACCGGCGACAAAGCTGAGGGCGACGTTAGCAAAGGTGGTCGGCCCCGGCGCTGAGTTCAGACTTGGATTCAAAGTCTGGCCGCGGGTCAGCGGGGGAGGTTTAAGTGGCAAGAAGCTCCATTATCTATTAAAAAATAGATAATAAAAATAAGATTTCAGGATAATATTTGGCACAAACATGAATTTCGTGAGAAACCATCGTGTGTCACGACCCCTGGGAAGAGGCTTGGGCTGTGCGTGTGTGCAGAGAGAACGGTCCGGCCCATGGCTGTGTTCTCAGAAGTGAAGCCAGCCGGCTATGGCGGGCTGGTATGGAAGTGGGCAGAGGGCACAGCCCCCGCCACAGACCACCTACACGTCCAGCCGTGTTCACGGTTGCCGAAGCTGGAGGCCGACCAGGGGGTTCACCGACAGCGGAATGGCTGAGAGGTGGTAATTCCCCGTGGTCATCTGTTCCCAGAACGCGGCCGTGAGGACGGCCGGCTGTGACACTACCCCCCCCAATGAGGGATGGAGCCATAGAGAAGCCTGCACGATGCGGGGCCCCGTTTGTATGAACCGCAAAGAGGCAGGACTAACCCACGATGACAAGAGGAGGTGCTGAGAGCCAGCCGGGAGGTCTGGGCCAGGGTCAGCTGGACACAGCGGCTTGCTATGTTTTCAGGAATGTGGGCAGCCAGCTGCTAAAGCCATCATTCAAATTTTAGTGATATAAACTTAACGATAGTGATAGAAACTTAAGATTAAATACATCACATTAAAAAAAGAAGGCGGTAAGTACGCTGTTTGTTTCTTACTATCGTCTGACTCTCCCCGTGCCCTCTCGGTCACCACCCCCCCCGGTCCCTCGTGTCCATTTGGTTTCTGCAGCTCTCCCTGCGGGACAGTGACATCACGGTGGCAGCCTAAAATCTGCCGTTTGGTGGGTATCTGTACACAGAAATCATCAAACACTACAGGTCAGCCCCTCGCCTCCCCGCCCCCCCCCCATTAAACATTTCCAAGTGTATCACGCTCAGATTAGTGGGAAGGATCACGGAGTTCACTTACAATCCGTATACTTTATACATGCTTTACCTTAATAAATGCTTTTTTAAGCTCCAATATTAGTATCCTAACTCCTTTCCAGGTCTCAGTGCAGGCACCTGCGGATTCGCTGTGCATACCACGGCCCAGGTAAACCAGCAGACTCCCTCCACAGCCGCGGGTGGTGACCAAGCTACGGGCTGGCGGCTTCACTCCCAGCCTCCTGTGTGCTTGTGATTCCCGGGCCGGGCCAGGGCAGGGGGCGCAAACCCCGCCTCGGCTCTGCCAGCCTCTCCCTTTCCTACCGGGGCCTGGAAGGTGCTTCCTGGCCCTGGCCACATCCTTCATCAAACGCTCTGACAACAGCCGGCTTAGTCTCTGCAGCCCAGCCAGGGCCAGCGCCTCGGGCCAGGGCCACCCCTCCTAGCCCTGGGACCCTCCTGCCACCCCCCTGCAATCTCCCCACACCCCTCTCCCAGCAGCAGCTGCGACTCACCCTCCCTTTCAGGTGTGCAGCCCCAGCAGCCCTTGGGACTTGACCTCTGTGGCCCCGCATCCTCCCAGATGTCTTCCCGCTGCTCCGGCCATTCCTCAGTGGGGGACAGCATGGCTGCTTGGCTCATCATGCTTCTCCCCTGACAGGTGTAGACCTTGGGCACCTTACCTGGTTTTAGCTTCAGTCCAATCGTCCTTCAAATGGTAATAAAACTTGGCTCGGAGTTGACTGACAGGTTCAACGAGATCACCGATGCACGGTGCTTGGCCTTCCCCAAGGACTCCCTGTAACAGACTTCCTGGAGGCCCAGCTCCCCTCCGAATCCCTCTGCAGCTCCCGTCTCTAACTCCTTGGCACCGGCCGCCCTCCACACCTCCTGGGTACCATCAGGACATCTCAAAACTGTCAAGTCCGGGTTTCTGGCAGGTGAGTAGCTGGACTGTCCTCTCTCCGCCCCCTCTCCTCCATCAGGCGTCTCCTCGCTGCTGACTCCCGCCACCCTGCCCAGATACCCGACTGCCCACAGCGCCTGCTCTCACTTGGCACATCCTCCCTCCGTGGCATTTCCCACTATTAGGCCGCGGTGTGTGTTTGCATATTTGATCACTGTCCACTTGTCGGCTATAAATTCTCCGAGGGCAGGGGCCTGGCCTCCCCTGTTCACTGTTCCCCGGAACCTAAAATACTCCCTAGCTCAGCAAAGGGACTCAGTCCTTGCCGGCTCATTGAATGAATGACTCCCCAGACGTCTCTTCTGCCCCAGTGCCAAGGGAACGGGACCACACAGAAAGCCAGGAACCTGCTGTTGCCCTGTTCCTCCTCCTGTCCCCAGTCCATCTCCAGGTCCTATAAATCCTAGTCATGAATGGTGACAGAGTCTGCCTACTGCCTGTCCTCATGGCCTGTACCTAGCTTGGGCAGCCTCCCCGTGTGCTGTCTATCCTGCTGCCAGAGGTCAGGTTCTGGTCAGGTGCACGTAGTCTCAGGAAGCAGGCCTGAACCGCTCTGTTCAGGACCTTGGCTCCCCCCCCCCCCCCCCCCCCCCGGGTCTTCCCCCCCCGGGAAGGGCCCCCCCCCCCCCGCCCCCGCACCCTGCCTGCTCAGTTCAGGCTGTACGTGCATTTACCACACATGCAGCCTTTAGGCGGGGATACTGTGGCGGACGCGTCTTTCAGAAGCGCTAGAAGCTAGGTTTCCCTCTTCTAAGCCTGTTGCAGCCATGGTCCGTGGTTATGGCGGGCAGGGAATAAGACTATTCAAAGCAGCGCTACAGCCCATGATAGGCGCTAAATATGTGAGAGCCTCAGAACAGCAAAGCTGCACTGCGGAGGGGCTGGGTTGCCCTTGCAGATTGCTGAACACGGATCCGCCCAGCCACGGAGCGTGTGTCGTGCGCTCAGGTCATACTGATCCAAGGACCCCCACAGGACAGTGCCGTGGGTGGTCAGGAGACGACCCAGAAATGGGGCAGTGGCGCGGGGGCTGGCCACAGGCCCTCTCCTGACGGCACCCGCGTGCCCAGAGTCCGTGGGGGGAGAGGCGGACCTGGGATCCTGGGGTGCCAAGGTCCCAGGATCACAGAATCCTAGGGTCCCAGAGTAACTCAGTTCCCGCGTCATGGGCTCCTGGGAGCTCGGGATCCCGGGGTGCCGAGCTCCTAGATCTTGGGACCCGGGATGCCCAGATTCCGAGGTCTCAGGGTCCCAGTCCAGGGGACTGGCGGCCGGCTCTCTGACGGCCCCGCCCCCGAGGGAAAGGCCTCCGCCAAAGCACATTGGCCGGCCGCCCCGCCCACGTGACGCAGCACGTGACGCGACCCGGAAGCGGCGGAGCTGCATCTCCGGGCGGCGGCTGCGGCGGCGGCGGCATGTTCACGGCGGGGGCCGAGAGTCTGCTCCACCAGGCCAGGTGGCCCGGCCTTTCCCTTGGGGCTCCTGGCGGGGGCGGGGGGGTGTTCTTACAGAGCGGGGCCCGCGCGCGGCGACCTGCAGCAGCCCACTTAGACCCGCTACAGAGGCCCGGGGAGCGGGGGGAGGGTCCGGCCGGCCCAGGAGGCAGCGGCGCCGGAGCCTCGGGGCGAGGGGTGCGTGCCCGGGAAGCGGGGCGGGGCCCCCAGGCTTGGCGGCGATAGCCGCGCGTCCCGCAGCCAGGCGGGGAGCCAGAGGCTGTCCGGTGCTTCAGGGGCAAGAGCATGAAGCCGCCAAGAGGCTGGAGAGCCTCCTGGCATTGAGGCCCGGCGAGCTCTGCGTGCCAGCCTCGGGAATCGGATACCATCGGAGGGCTCTGGGGAGCCAGGGGCGAAATCCCCGATTTAGAAACTCGCTTTCCTCAGGGTGCATTAGATAGGATGGAGAAATTACTCACCGGCTTCTGGCCCCCAGCTGGCCCTGGACTCCCACTGACTAGTCCGTAGCCCCTTTACCGAGCCCCTACCCAGCCACGGGAGAAAGCAGAATGCAGGCTAGGACTAAAACCCCACAGTCCATCAGACGGTGTAAAACTTGACGCTACTTGTTTAGAAGAAAATGCATTCGGGACCACAAGGCAGTGATAAAAACAAAAAACCTAAAACTGGATCCAGAGCTGGACCACTTGGTGGGAGAGACTGGGATGGTTGAGGCTGCTGCCAGCTAGGGAAACAAGATCTTGAATACCAGTTAGGTTTGAAGGCTGGGAACAGGGCAAGAATCCTCTGTGGTCAAAATAACCCTTAAAAATCTGCTCAGAAGGTGCCTTGTGGGTTCATAGCACCTTCATTGCTATCTGCGTCTCCTTCATTGTTGGACAGATACTCCAGTATTCAAGCTCGAGGATTAGAAATCGAGCTCACCTGAACTTCGGGGATGTAGTACGTGAAGATAGCATCTCACTCAACATGTGACACAGTCACCCTAGTGTTCTCGCCAAGAGGCACGTAAGAACTGAGACCCACCCAGAACCTCACGGGGGTTACCTCTCCCCAGCTCAGCTTCTACTCCAGGTCATAAATTTGCAGAATGAATAGTCCTCACTCTCTGCATTCGCTCTGTCTCAGGTAGGGCAGTGGGAGAGTTGAGGGTAGCACATTTTCCAATATCCCAAAGCAAGATGCTTGAATTATGTGAATTATGCAAGAATTATGCACATTCTCTCCATTAGGGTTTGAAGAAAGCTAGTCATGATCAGTTAGGTCTTAGTTTTTCACTGTATTCTACCCTAACGAAGCCTGTGATTCGGGGTGTCACAAGAGAAGTAGGACTCGTGGTTCTCAGAGAAGGCGAGCCCAGGACCCTGTCAGCCTTGTTAGAGTCAGTAGGAGTTCAGGTTTGAAAGCACTGGGGAGCTGTTGGAGGGTTTGAGCAAATTGGCCTTTTAGAATCCTGGGATTTAGAGAATATACTGGAAGGCATTCACTGGGATGAGGGGTACCACCATTCTAGGAAAGAGTCTGCTGTGTGAGTTTGAGGCAGCCTGGTACCTTCCCAATCCGTCTCGTTAGGCCCGGGGAGAAACACACCTGACCAGGCCTCTTTTCCTACATCCTCATCCCACAGGTGACTGTTGTGTTTGTAAGAAATGAAAACGGGTTAGGAGGTAGGAGGGCGACGGGGAGTGGTGGGGAATTCACAGAGGTTCATCAGCCAACCTTCAAGGAAGAACAAGAAACAGAGGAGGCAGCCCCAGGCCCCCAGCCCCACATGCTCAGCCGCCCTCTTCGTCAGCCCGAGACTGGAGCTGCCCCGTCTCGGTTCAAAATCCCAGGTTCTGAGGTCGAGTGTCTGATCAGTCGAGCCTGGATCCGGTGGACTTCCGCTGTGGCTAGGGGGCTGGAGGGGGCCCTCCTCTGAGAGCACTGCCCCCCACCCCAGCCAGAGGTCCCTAGTACTGTGTTTCCTGGGCTTGCCTTGCCCTTTCAGACTGGAAGAGAAACCCAGAAAACCAGGTTTCTGTTTTGATTTCTGTTTCTGTTGATGCTTGAAGATACAATTTTTTAACGAAGCCGAGTAAATACTAGGAACCGTGGTAGTCATACCTGAGAACATGACCCAGTGTTTGTTCTCTAACGTAGCAGATTTCGCTCTTGTTCCCAGGAGCGGGAGGCTCACTAAAGGAATCTTCTTGAAAAGCAACTTATTTCAGACCATGCTTCATTTTGAGTGCTAACATCAGTGGGTTTTAGTTCTTTCACTCCTGGGACAACAAAAACCTGGAGGTGTGGTGTCTCTCCTGAAAGCCCTACCAGCAGGGGAGGGGAGTGACCACATGGTGACAGGGGACAGTGGCTGCATCCCAGGGAGGGCGGAGCCGCAGGTGGTGTCCTCGCTTTCCCACACGAAGCCCGTGATGCTGGCTTCTCTGCTCCGTGGGGATGTCCCTTCAGACCCAGGACCATGGGTCACAGCTCAGGGTGGGATTTCCAGCTCCCGCGGACAGGTCCCCCAACTCCAGGTCGCCAACACCCCGCTTTTCATTTAGGGAGATCCAGGACGAGGAGCTGCAGAAGTTCTGTTCCCGGGTCGCGAAGCTGCTGCAGAAGGACGACCCGGGGCCTGACGCAGTAGACGCCCTACAGAGGCTGTTCCTCATCGTCTCAGCCACGAAATACAAGAGGCGGTGAGTGTGCTGACCTTCGGGGGCACGGCCGCGTGGGTGGGGTGCTGAGTAACACGCCCCCCGTGCATGTGGCCCTGCGTTTCCAGGCTGGAGAAGACGTGCGTGGACCTGCTGCAGACCACCCTCTGCTCGCCCAAGTGCCCTGAGCAGCTCCAGCTTCTGTGCGCTGCCATCCTGAGAGAGAGGTCACCCTCCGATGACCTGAGCCTGTCCTGTGACCACGTCCAGAGCAGCCAGCAGCTGAGCCTGGTGGCCTTGGTGCTCTTGGCCCAGGTGATGTGCCCATCCTGCCCCTGGTGCCCCTGGGGCACCCACCAGCCTCCCCCACCCCCTCCTGCTCTCCTGCCCCTTGTTCCCAGGGACAGGGCAGGGCTCTGGGAAGGGCCCAGATTCCGGCTGCTCCAGTGATGCCCCGGACGTGGTAAGCGGTGGTGGTACGGAAACAGGTGTCCTCGTGGAGCAACGGCCTTCAGGACCGGCTGCCCTTCCCCGGTGTTTTCAGACTAGATGCGTGTCGCTCACACACACAGGTAATCACTTTGCATTCCCCCATGTTCCGTTTGAAGGGTGACAGAAAGGAGGAGGTCCGAAGCGTGGGCCAGCGCGCCTTCAGAGTCCTTGAGAGCCGGCAGCCCGAGGGGCCCAGTCTGAGGCACCTGCTCCCAGTCGTGTCCAAGGTCACGCGCCTGGCCCCGCACTCCATCCATGAAGGTAGCCACCCTTCCGGAAAGGCCATTGTGAGCACAGAGGGAGAGGTGCGCCCTGAGGGCCCAGCACCCTGTCCAGAGCTTGTTTTCTAGAAAGTTCTACCAGTGCCACTACAGCCCGAGTCTGTGGGATTGACTATTTCCCACATGTTGTCCCTGCCCGCCTCCCACCCATAGACCAGACCAGCCTGCTCAGCAAGAGGTTGGTGGACTGGCTTCGCTATGCCAGCATCCAGCAAGGGGTCCCACACGCTTCTGGAGGGTTCTTCTCCACACCCAGAGCCCGGCAGGTGAGCCTGGAGACTCAGGACCTCCCTGGTTCCAGAATGATCCCTCTTTCGTGTCTGCACTCAGGTTGGGGGGCTTTGGGTCCCCGGGGTCACAGCCCTCCTAACCCATGATGCTGTGCGCCAAACCCACTGGCAGGGGTCACTTACCTGACAGAGGACCACGTCCACTTAGGTGCCAGTGTTTATGTGTCTTTTGGGGGCCACCCCCGGTCCTCGAGAGCATGAGGGCGGGGCTCCCACTGGCACGCAGCCCCCCTCCCACCTTCCCTGGTATCTGTGAGCCCGTTGGCCGCACCCGCCCCCCGGCCTTAGACCCCAGCACCTCCCCAGCCTGTGTCCCCACAGCTTGTCCTTCCTTGCCTCCCACAGCCGGGCCCTGTCACTGAGGTAGATGGGGCGGTAGCCACAGATTTCTTCACGGTGCTGTCCACGGGCCAGCACTTCACGGAGGACCAGTGGCTGAACGTGCAGGCTTTCTCCATGCTGCGGGCATGGCTGCTGGCCAGCAGCCCCCAGGGCCCCAGTGCCCTGGACTCAGGTGGGACATGGGGGTCGGGGGGACATGGGGGGGTCACACAGGCAGGAGGTGGACGGCACCAGGTGTGGCCCCCAGGTGACGCTGGGAGCACTGGTTGAGCCTCGTCAGCCCCGGGAGGCCCATCCCCGTTGTGTAGGAGAAGCCACAGAGGGCACAGAAGGTCACAGAGGGCAGATGGCAGCACAGGTGCTGACAGCTTCACCGAATGCCCTCCCCCGTGCAGACTGGCCAGTGGTGGGGACAGACTGGGCTTCCGGGAGAGACACCGCCCTGCCTGTGGCCTCTGGTTGGGGTGAAGGCGGCCACGGTGGGGCTGGGCCTCAGCCGCCCGCCACAGGGACTCCGTGCCCCTCGAGCACCTCATTCTCCTTTCCAGATGACAAGTCGGAGCTGGAGGGCTCCACGCTGTCCGTGCTGTCGGCCACGTCCACCGCCAGCCACCTGCTGCCGCCCCAGGAGCGGCTGAGGGAGAAGGCCTTCGAGTACTGCCAGCGCCTGGTGGAGCAGAGCACGCGGCGTGAGTCCTGTCGCCGCGTCTCCTCCCCGAGGGGGCGTCCCTGGCTGCTCCTGGGGGGCGGGGGCCTGCACAGCCTCTGTGTCCCCGGGGACTCTGTGCTCCTGGTGCAGACCTCGGGAGCTGGGCAGGGGGCAGAACCTGTCCCCAGCCTCCCGTGCATCCGCCCCGGGGTGGGGGGTCACTGTCTGCCTTCTCCTCCAGCTTCTAGAACAGGGTGCTTCTTGCTCACTGTGTTGCCTCTGACGGAGACGGGGGGCCTTTCTTCCTTCCACAGGAGCCCTGAGAAAGGGGGACGCGGACCTGCAGAAAGCCGTAAGTGCCCACGGCGTTGGGGGGCAGGGTGGGCCCCTGACGCGGCTCCCTGTAATCCGGGCCCCCCACACGTCTCCGCAGTGCCTGGTGGAGGCCGTGCTGGTGCTGGACGTGCTCTGCCGGCAGGACCCGTCCTTCCTGTACCGCACGCTGTCCTGCCTGAAGGCGCTGCACACACGGCTGTGTGGGGACCTGGCGCGGGCGCGGGCGCTGCTGCCCATCGCGCAGTTCTTCCTGAGACATGGTGAGCCTCGCGCAGGGCGGGCCCGGGCCTCTCTTCCGTCGGGGGCTTCCTTTGTCTGTAGAACCGTGGCTTTGAGCGGCCGTTGGCGCCCGGTGGAAAGGTGTTAGATGGGTTTGAGGGGCTCATTGAAGCCGAGCAGCTTTACGCTGATCTTGGAACCCTCTTTGCCACGAGAGTTCACGGGAGTTTTGTGCGAGGGACTGTGAAACCAGCACCTTCCAAAGAACTTTCCTCATTGTGTGACCCAGAGGGACTGGGAGGTCGCTGGAGGCTCTCGGGGCGGGACGGGCGAGGCTCGGCCGGGGTTCCCTGTGCAGCGTACACACCTCAGGGCCCCTGGTGTCTGGAACCCTGAGCACCCCCCCACCAGGAGGGGGGTCCTCGTGACAAGGTGAGGTCCCTCGTGCCAGGGCCAGGCCCTGACGAGGCTGGTGCGTTTCAGGGGAGGCAGCCGCCGTGGACTCAGAAGCCATCCTCCAACACCTGTTCACCAGGGTCCCCTGCGAGCTCTTCCACAGCCCCACGCTGGCCTTCGAGTTCGTCCGCTTCTGCGGGGACAGCCTGCCCCTGTTTGGCAAGAACCCTGACATTCTCAAGCAGAGCTTCCCCAACCTCTTCAAGGCACGCTCAGTTGTTCTTGGGCCGGTGGGGGGTGGGGGGTACAGTGCCCCCCGCTCGTCCTCCAGACTGGCAGCAGTCACTAGCATCCGGGGAGCGGCCTGGGATGCCGGCAGAGGGCCGTAGGACAGCCCAGGGGGTCCATGCGTCCCGTAGGAACAGCGTCCCCGCCGGGGAGAACCCCAGGCTGAGCGCCTTCAGAGGAGCCGCGAGACTGGACTGTGGCTCATTCTAGAGTTTGTCCTGATTGTCGCAGCTGGTAGGTTCCTGTCATCTGGGAGCCTCGCTGGCTGTGTTCAGCTCTTTGTAAAGAGCTGTTACCTTTCGACGCACTGTTTGTGACCGGCTGTGGTCTCCGTGTGGTCTTTGCAAATTTAATTGGAGGAGAAACAGTGACAAGTGCAAAGTGATTGCTATAACTGTTGGTGCAAAAGGCGGCGCAAGGAAAGTGGGGGGCACTGGCACCCGGCCCATCCGGTACCGAGGTGCACTCCCCTGGGGCAGCCACAGGTCCAGCCGCTGGCCCGCACGCCCCACACGGGCCCTCCTGGTGCCCACTGAGCCACCACGCTTGTTCCTGCAGCTCCTGGCCTGGAACAGCCCGCCCCTCACCTCCGAGTTCGTGGAGCTCCTGCCGTGGCTGGTGGACCCCGGCACAGCTGTGGAGATGCTCCACGCGCTGCTGGACCTGCCCTGTCTGACCGCGGCCTTGGATCTGCAGCTCAGGTGAGCCTGAGGGATGATGCCTGTCCCTGGGTCCCCTCCCCATTGCCAACTGGATCCCTCCCCGTCCCCTGCTGTTCCGCAAGCTGCCCAGACAAGAGCGCCTCTCTCCAGCCCTGGGCCCCCGAGGCCCTGTCCCGTGTCTCTCGCTGGGAGGGCCTCACCCTGCAGGTACCGAGCCCCAGGTCCCTTCTAGTTCCTCAGGTTCATCGTTGGCGCGGGATAACGCCTGCTCTGTCTCCTCGAGGGCTGGGGCTGAGTCGGGCCTCCAGTGGCCTGGGCCCAGAGCCCACATCTGAGCCTGGCCTTAGGCGTCTGCTTGCTCACAGGCTGTCACCAGCTGTGTCTGAGAGGCCGCTGTGGGACGCCTCCCTCAGGAACCCCAGCTGTCTGGAGGCTTCCCGGGACCCACAGTTCCAGGCTCTTCTCCAGCACCTGCTGCGGGCCAAGGCCAGTGGAACCGTGGAGAGGTAGGGCTGCTCAGGCCGGGGGGCCCTGGGGTGGGGCCTGGCTGTGGGGGTCCCTGGCCCCGTGTCCCTGGGTCGGCTCAAAGAGCGCTACACGTGGTCAGAGCCTGTTCCCAGGGTAGGTGGGACATGTCTGGGGACATCTGGCCCTGAGCATTGTGCCTTCTAAGCTGAAGAAGCCCCTGTTGTCGCCCCCCATCCCCCTGCCCCTGGCAGTCGTTAGCCGCGCTCCGGGTGCTTGCCGGGCATAGGCCTCACGCTCAGCCCCTTACCGGCGCACCAGTTCGGTTCCCACAACCCTGCGAAGTCGGTGCTGTGGGGACTCCATTGTCCAGAGGGAGCAACTAAGGAGTGGCGCTCCCTAGGAGCAGGTCGGGGGCCAGGACCGGAACAAGGCGTCCTGAGTGCAGACCCCCACGCACGCCCTCCCTGTGTCCCGCGGAAGCAGGGAGCACAGAGCTCAGCAGGGAGCCGCGTGGTTCCCGGGGTTGGGGGTGGGTGGGCGGGGGCAGGGGGTTCCTCCGAGGAGGCGGCGCAGGTGTTTCAGAACTTGCCTGGGCTGCGACACTGCGACCCCGTGCCCTGTCCCCTCGGGCACCGGCATGTCTGTGGGCCCCAGGGGAGCGGGTGAGGGCGCTCAGTGGGATGCGCGGCTTCTGTCCTCCAGGTTGGCGCCCCTCCACCAGCTGCTGCAGCCCATGGCCAGCTGTGCCCGGGTGGCCCAGTGCGCCGAGGCTGTGCCCACACTGCTCCAGGCCTTCTTCTCCGCAGTGACTCAGGTGAGCCCGCTTCTGGGCTGCTCCGTTCCCACAGAGAGGGTGGCCCTGGGCCTCGGCAAAGCCGGTGTCCTTGAACACAGATCCCGCTCTGGATCAGCTAGAGGCACCGGGAGGGCGGCCTGACCGCCCCCAAGAGCAGCCCCGGGCTGGCGGGCACCAGTGGGTGTGGAGCAGAATGTGGGGGAGGGTGATGTCAGGGTGGGGGCTGAGTCTGTGTCTCCCTCCCGATCCCCAGTTTGCTGACGGGGTTCTGGCCAACCAGCTGGCGCTGCTGCTCCTGGAGAGATGTGACTCCCTTTACCAGGTGCCCCAGTATGAGGCCCGTGTGCACAGGTGGGCCCTCCTGCCGGCCCCATGAGGTGTCACCCACCCTGCCGACCCAGCCCCATTTCACCGCCCCCAGCTCAGCCTACCTTGGCTCTGAGTCTCCACCTCCCCTGCGCTGTGCCCCTTTCCGGCTGCCCTCTGCAGCATGTGCCCTGGTCCCCAGCATCACCTGGGGTCCAGCCGCTGCCCACACTCCTCTCCTTGGTCCAGAACGCCCCTGCCTCCGTCCCTTCTCCCCCAGGTCCGTAATCTCCAGTGCTGGCCCTGGTCCCTCTCCATGGAGCCTTCCAGACCATCTGTGCCCCTTTCCGAAGGCCTGATCCACACACGCCTGTGCCCACACCACTTAGCAGCCCCAGCTTCCTCTCCAGTGGGCCATGGGTTCCTTTAGGGGCTGAAAGCATCTGGACCTGAACCTGTTCAGAGGCTTTCCCCCTCTCCTCCTGGCTCTGGTTCTGCATGGGGGGCCACGGTCTAGCAGTGTCCTCCCCGGGCAGGGTGCTGAGCTCCCAGTTCCTGGCCCTGTGCGCACTGCACCCGTCACTGGTGGTCGAGCTGGCGAAAGAGCTGCTGGAGTTCGTGGGGAGTGTGAGCAGTGTCCGCAGCCGGGGGGCCATGCTTGCCTCCGTGGTAAGGCCAGCCGCCGCGCCACCGCCCCTCTCCCACGCCGGGGCGCCTGCCGGGATTAAGGCTCTGTCCCCATGCAGGCCTGGGCCATCGGCGAGTACCTGTCTGTGTCCTGGGACCGGCGATGCACCGTGGAGCAGATCAACAGGTTTTTTGAGGCCCTCGAGGCCCTGCTGTTCGAGCTTACCCAGTCGCGCCCATCTGCCACCCTCCCCGAGTGCCCCCCACAGGTCATCGCCGTGCTCATGACCACGCTGACCAAGCTGGCCTCCCGGAGCCAAGACCTGATTCCCAGGTACTGGCTGGGGCAGAAGGAGAAGGGGAGCTGGTGCTGGTTGCCTTCCTGGTCCCCAAGGTCTGCATGTGGCTTGCAGCACGAGGGCTCCAGTCAGATACCGGTGGCGGTAGTGTCCCCACGGCCTCGCTGCTCCCAGCTAATGCCCCCTGACCCAGAACTTTGGGCGTCTGGGCCCCCCCGTGGGGCCTCAGCTTTCACGTGAGGGGTGCATCTGCAGCTGACTGGGATCCCTTCGTCCTCAGGGTCTCTCTGTTCCTGTCAAAGATGAGGACCCTGGTCCAGAGCCCGGCGCTGAGTTCCATGCACCGTGAGGAGGGCGCGGCAGCCGTCCGCACACGGGCCACTGAGCTCTTGACGCTGCTGAAGATGCCCAGTGTGGCCCAGTTTGTGTTCACGCCCAGCGCAGAGCTGTCCGAGCCCCGCTACCACCGTGACGCCAACACCGCCCTGCCGCTGGCCCTGCGCATGGTCAGCCGCCTGGTGGAGAAGGAAATGGGCCTCCTGCCGGGGTGAGGGGTGTTGACCTGGGGGACGCTGGCCCGGCCACAGAATGAGAGCCAAGCTGCGGCTGCCACGAGCAGGGGCTTGAGACCCGGGGAGGAGCCCCGGGTGGGTCTGGGTCCCTCTGTGTGGGTCAGGCTGTCCCATCCTCAGCCTTTGGGTGTTTGTCTCTGTCCCATGCTGAACTGTGTGGTGACACAGATCTGATTTGGAGCTCTCACCCCGTTGGGGGTGGGTGGGGGCTGCTTGGTGTGTTTCTGGCAGATCCTTGTTGGGAGGCAAAAGGAGGTGCAGCGGCAATAAACATCTTCCAGAGAATCCCTGTGTGCACGAGGCAGGGGAGAGGGCCAGATGTGGGGAGCACTGCTGGGCTGGGAGGCCTGGCCCTGGGCAGGGGGGGACCCCCGCCCCGCTGGGCCAGACGCTTGGGGCTGTTCCTTCGTCCCAACTCCCCACCGTGTCCCAGATGTGACAGAAATAACAGCACGTATGTGGGCGATCAGCAAGGGAGCCGCGTGACTCTCCCACTGGCACAGCCGCCACTGGGAAGGGCCTCTGCTCAGTGTCCTTTCTTAGTCCGCCTTCTGATGCTACTGAATGATGGAAGACGCAGAGGCTGTGGCTCTTCTGGCCTGCAGTCTCTTGCCATCTGGAGGAAGGGCAGGGCCAACCCAGCAGGGACCCCCCAAGCCAGGATCGCGCTGGTATTATGCCGAGTGGGGGAGACTAGCCGAGTGTGGGAGCGCAAGAGAGGTGTCGTGGTTCGTCCCCCCACCCGTTAGTGCCTCCTGTCCCAGTTCCACTGAGGTCAGCTTCCTGCCTTGGACACTAGCTCCCAGGGCTGCCCCTCAGCTCCGCCGGCTGCGCGCAGGCATCCGGGACACCAGGTGGCGCTGGTGCTCCGCGAGTCTCCGCCGGTCTCGCCCCGCCCGCCCCGCCGCCTCTGGCCCCGCCCCCGGACGCCGGACCGTGCGGACGCCAGAACCGCGCTGCTGCGGCGGGCGGACGCGGTGCGCGGAGCGGACCGAACCGGGCTCCGGCCGGCAGAGTGTCCGCCTCGGCTCCGCCTGGCGTCCCGGGCCCCGGAGGACTTCCGGTAGACGACAGGTGACGCGCCCGTGGAGCGGAGCTGTGGGCGTCGGGGCGGGGCGCGCTTGGGGCCCCCTGGTCCTCGCGGGTCGGGACAAGACCCGGCTCGGCCGCCCCCTCCCCGCCCCGCGCGGCCCGGGCCCGAGGCGGGAAGGCAGGCCAGAGGGAGGTGCTAGTTTTGCCAGGTCTCAGGGCGTGTTTTCAGTGGGCGCTCGGCCTGCGGCGTTTCCATGTGCTGGAAGTTTGGGTCCCAAAGCAGCGCGCGAACAAGCGTGGGTCCGAGAAGACACGTTTCCTCGCTTGTCAGAGAGCCAGGGCCAGTCCAGAGATGCTGCCTTTACGTTTTCTCTGCCTGGCGGACCGCTCTGCTGCCTGAGAGTCTAGACAGAAACTACCCGGGTTTGAACTCGGGGGCGTTTGCACTCCCTGAGTGTGCAGTCCACGCACTTGCTGCCGCCTGGTGGGGAGCGGGGAGCTCCCCACTGACCGCGGGCTTCCGTCCCCTGTGCTTTGGCCAACAGGCTGTGGACGCGAAGGACCGGAGCTTGAGACGTGCTGGGGAGCTGGGCTTGGCGGCTCGCGCTCTGCCGTGGCTAAGGGCATTCCTGGCGGGGGAGTCGGCCTGCGAGGCCGGGAGGACCCCACCTGGAGCTCGGAGTCCCCTGCAGCTGCGCTGAGTGCGGGTGAGGGAGTTGTTCTGGGACCTGAGCGCTGTCCTGGTGTTTCAGGGTGACATTACCGCAGCGTCTGGGAAAAGTGGGTGGGAGCTGGGAGCAGTAAACGGTTACTGCCTGGAAGGGACCTGCTGGGGACTCTGTGGGTGTGTCCCCACTCCCAGGACTCCAGCCCCTTGGGAACTCAGCTACATGGGGTCCCAGTTCGGCCCCTCGGGTTTCTCTCCTTTGGTGCTGAGCCGCCGAGACCAGGAGCTGGGCAGGCCTCCCTTGGGCTGCTGCTGGCCTTTTGGAACTGGCGCCCTGGATTCAGTTTGGGGCTCTAAGTTTTCCTTTTGGGTTCAATCACATGTTTAAAATGAGTTTTCTAAAAAAATACTTGTGATCTAGCAGCGGGTGCGCTTCCCCCCCGCACTCATCAGCGGGCCACGTGGGGCTGCGGGCAGCCTAGTGCTCAGGACCGAACGAGGACCTCACAGGTCGTGGGGGGGGAGCTCCCTCCCTGAGACCCCTCTCCCTGTGAGGGGTGTCGGCAGCCGACGAGCCAGGGCTCCTCTTCCTCCAGGTCTCTGTTCCTCTCCAAGAAGACGACTCTGGCCCCGAGCCCAGCCCTGAGCTCCCTGCTACGGCCACGGCTGCTGAGCCTGCTGAACACGCCTGGCGCAGGTGTCCAAGCCCTGCTGTCGCCGCGACCCCCACCACAGCCAGCCACCTGGAGGACAAGGTGAGTCTCCTGCTGGGGTGAGGGGAGGGTGACCTGGGGGACGCCGGCCTGGCCGCAGATTACCAGCTGCTATTAGGGCCCAGTCATGGCTGTGGTGAGCGAGAGGAGGCCCGGGTGCCCCCAGTGGGGTGAGGGCTCGAACTACAGCCTGGCGAGGGTTGGGGCAGGCGGTTCTAGACCGTCTTTGAGCTATGCTGAGTGTGTGCTGAGTGGGAGCTCCGTGCTTCAGGGTGGGGGCGGGGGCAGAGGGAGACCCTACCCGCAGCACTGGGACCCTGTGTCCTCCTGGGGAGCCCGGCGCCGCGCCCATCTTCATTCCACACACCGCCAGCCCTTCAGATTACGAAAGATAGTTTATTGAATCTGTACATTTCCATTAAAATCTTTACACATAAAAGCTCTGTAACAAACATCACAACTTAGTGTTCTCTGTCACATAAATAAAATATACACTAAGATGTACGTCTTCCGCAACAGGGAACGCGGGAACAGCGCGGCAGAAGGTGGCCGCCACCCTAGGAGGGCGGCGTGCGGAAGCGGATCTTCTTGGCGGTTTCCACGTCGGACTTGGCAACCAAAAACCGCATCTTCTTGCCCCCATTTCGGATCAGGTCCACAGCTCTGAAACCCAGTGCAGGGGGAGGAGGAGGGAGCCAGGCTCGCGTCGCGGGGACTCCCCGCAGGCCCAGCCTCGGGACAGGTGAGGCAGGCAGGGCTTTGGGGGAACCTGGGATCGGGACCCACTCTGTCACCCTGCTGTGACACACCCCCTCGAGGGGCCCCCCCGGTGGGGCTGCCGTGTGCCCAGAGGTTGAAGGAGCCGGCTGAGTGCTGCGCCTCTGCTCCCTCACACCCAGCACAGGGTTGGGATGGGACCTGCTCCCGGGCCGGGGGCTCCCCTGGCGGCTGCAGCACGAGGGCGGGGAGTACCTCAGGTAGCTGACACCCGTCAGGCTGCTGCCGTTCACCTCCAGGATGCGGTCTCCCAGGGACAGGCGGCCGTCCGAAGCTGCGGGGCTGCCCGGGAGCAGGGTCTGGATGTAGAGCCCGGGGGCGCCCAGCGGCGTGTGCTGGGAGAGAAGTGGCGGCCTCAGGCTTCCATGCGCCTGGGCCCGGCTCCCTCACAAGCTCTGCCACGGGGCTGCGAGGGCAGCACCAGACACCGTCACGTCCCCTGCAGGTCCTTCCCTCCTCTCAGATGCCTCTGAGCCACCCGCTATACTCTTAGCCCAGACCCTGGTCCCGGTCTTCCCCACGAGCTGGGGGCCAGTAAAGAGAGGGCCCGGCCCAGCAGAGCCCAGAGGGCCACTCACCAGCCCGTCGATCAGGCCCATCCCCAGCCCGGAGGGGCCCCGCTCCAGCTCCACAACGAAGACGTAGCAGAAATCCTCCGTGCTGGAGCTGCGGCTGGGAGGGGCCGGAGGGGGCTCGTCCGCGGGACCCACGCTGTCCCCTGGGTGGGCAAGGAGGGGGGGGGCTCTGTCTGCACTGCTGTGGCAGCCTGTCCCCAGGAAGGGTGCTCACTGTGTTCTAGCAAGTCCCCAACTACTGTCAGGGTAAGGGGTCCAGACCACACCCCCGTGTGTTTGGAAGAGGCACCTCCATCCCCCTCGTGGCTGGCCCTTTCCAGGGGCCGAACAGGGGCCTCTGCTCAGGCTCATTCTGAGACCCTGCTTCCTCCCTCTGCACCTCTAAGTGCTGACTCCACCTCTGTCCACCCCCCATGTCTGACCCAGCCCCCCAGCCCAGCACCAGGGCCCCGAGCGAGCCTGCCCCCTTCTTGAGCTGGAGCCACCCGGAACGACCTGTGGTTGTGGCCCCAGCACTCAGATCTCCAGGACCATGGCTGGCGCTGCCGTGGCCTAGAGATCCCCATCCCTCTGCCTCCCCGCCTTCCCTTCTTCTGTGCTTGTCTCCTGAGCCATCCCTCCCTGCCTCCCCCTATCCTCAGGGTAGCGACTTGGTCCCACAGATGGCTCCGCATGGCCCAGCCGCCCTCTGGCATCCTGGGCAGGCACTGCGAGCCCCAGGTGAACATGACGCCAGGACCTCATGGGTGGCATGACTCCCAAGGGGCTCTGCCGGGTGGCAACAGGGCTGGGGTGCGAGCATGAGCCTGGGGACATGTCTCACCTTCTGGAGCTGCGTTCCTCCTCCCTTCTGGGAGCACTTTCCCACAGGTGCCTCTAGGCTCGGGCCAGTCCGGGACAGCGGGCTCGAGGCTGAGTGGGGTGCTGGGAGGCGTGAGTAGGCACGAGGAGTCTACGTGCAGGGGGCCAGCCTGGGGGCCCCCGCGGCTCTGCCTTCCTGAAAGGCCCTGTGCACGGGGAGCCCCCGCAGAAGCCAGAGTGCGCCCCTGGCCAGCTTCACGGGCTCCCCTGCAAACTAGCGGGCCGCTCTGGCCCTCAGAGGTGGTGTGGTGTGGGCCCTGGGCGGCAAGGGGGAGAAAGAACTCAGGGACTTGGCGGCCGGGCGTGGTGGGAGAACTAGAGGGGCTCCGGGCATTCCCAGGGGCAGCAGCCAGGCCCTGAGCTGGCTGCCCCTGGCCACCCTGCTGACCGAGTCCACGCACCCCCAGCTGCACCCGGTACCTCGAGGCCCCCTGGCTGGGAAGGCCCCCCAACGGGGCTGGGCTTGCTATGCAGACTCCACAGGAAGTGGCGGATGTAGAGAAGGTGCTGGTAGATGCTGTCGTCCAGGCAGTCGGCCTCCAAGTCCACCTGGAAGCCCTCGCTCGGCAACACAATGGGTGGGGGGTTTTCATACGACTCCAGGACCTCCTCTGTTGGGGGAGGGGCAGGGGACGGCATGACAGGCCCAGCAAGACCAGACTTCCTGTTCCTCCCCAGGTGTGCCAGCCACCCCCACCCCACCCCATCAGGACTGGGGACGCCGCCGTGGGGCACCTGGGCAAAGGCTGGCCTGCCCAGACCAGCGCTCCGCCGTGCGTCCAGTGACCCGCCAGGGCAGAGCTCGAGCTGCCAGCTGGATCCTCTGCCCACAGTGGCCCCTGACGCTTCCCCTCCGGGCACCCCTCCCACCGCCCCCATCCACTGTGACCTGCATGTGGCCCTGGCACCCAGACGGTGGGGGGCATGTCCGCCCTAAAACAGACCCACCCCATGGGGGCCCCCAGCAGAGCACCCGCACGTGGCAGGCCTCCAAAGTGAGGAGCCCACAGTCCTGCTCAGAGCAGTGGCTCTGTCCAGGTTGAACCCCTAGGGGACAGGGACACAGTTTCCAACTGTAGTTTCTACCTCCTTGTAATTTCCGTGTGTCCTAGTGTATCGTGCAGCGGAGAGATACGTCCCTAGTTGTGAGACACACACAGGCCCACGTAGGCCATGTATGCGCACGCACGTGGCAAGCACACAGTCTCCGCATGCAGACCCTGCTCTCCTCTTGGTCGGCTACGCCCCAAGTGAGGCCGCAGCCTTGGGCTCCTCAATGGGTAGGACCCAGCCCGACGGAGGTTGGATCTAGGTCTTGGCCTGTGGGCTCTGACTACCCCCACCCACTTCTGTGAGGGTCTCCAGGTCCCCAGGTGGGGGGCAGGGTGTTCCCAGAAGATGGCCCAGGATGAAGGTCCCCAAGGCTCTGCAGGCTCCCATAGGAAGTCCCCCAGGGAGCTCCCTTTTGCCCCAACACGGCACACACGGCCCCCAGCTCCTGGCCCAGAGGCGGCTCACCTGACTTGAAGGCATCGGGGCTGTCCTGGGCGCCTGGCTCCCAGGCACTCATGGGGCCCACAGCCGAGGCCAGCTGGTACTGGGTCAGCAGCCGGTGCAGCTGCGCGGGGCTCAGGGTGGGGAAGGCGGCCCGCAGGTTTGCCCAGCTCATCTGTGTGACAAGAAGCAGCTCATGATCAAAGGCTCCCGGATGGCACAGCCATACCCCCAGGAGGGGTGTTCTAGGCACTCTGGGGGCAGGGGCAGAGGGCCTGGGCTGCCTGGCCCCGTGCTCCCAGCTCGCTCACGCAGGCCTTGGCGCCCCTGGGGGCCGGTGAGGTCACTGAGGGGCCCAGGGGGCAGCCAGCAGGCACCCCACCCAGGGCTCTGTCTACTGACTACACCTACCACCACGTCATCCCCCCCGGGGCTGAGAAGGGAGGGAAAGAGTCCCAGGGATTTGACAAGTGGGATTCCTGCTTTATAGCACATAAGAGACCCGACCCACCAGGCTGAAAGGAAAGCATAGATGCAAAGCCTTCTACCACCTGGGACCCCCAAGATTGGCTCTGTGGGCACAGGACAGGGAGGCTCCCTCAAGTGGGACCAGCAGCCCAAGCTGCGCAGAAGAAGGTGAACTTATGCATGAAATCCAGCAGCCTGCACCGTCCCCTGCAACCCTGGTCTCCGCTGGCCGGGGACGCCCCTCCTCTCTGGTTTTCTGGGTCCCTCTCTCCTCTGCGGGTGAATCCGCTTCTCTGTGACACCGTCATTCATGACTGCCATTGGAGGCGCTGGCCCAATTCGTGCCCTCTGGGGCCCCAGCTTCTGACTTGGCTCTTGAAAGTCAGAAAGCACCCTGATGGCTCATCGCCAGGATGTGTCCTGTCTTATTCTTCCAGAAAGCTCACAGGCTTCTCATGGCCGTGGTTCTGACATTGCGGTGCTCAGCCCCCTGCAAGTCTGCTCCCCCTTCAAGCTCTTGGCTCCTGGCTGCGCGGTGCTCTGGAACCTCAGGGAAAGTGGGGGAGGGGCGTATTGGTCCCCCTCCATGCCGCAGCAGCCACCTCCCCTGCTCTTTCCTGACTCAGTGTTTGAAGCCTGGGCCTCGCCAGCGGGTCCTTCTCTCTTCCTTCCCTTTGCTCCTCTGCTTCTCTCTCTTCTGGGTTTACTGCCAAGAGGCTGGGGCTGTGGGTAGCCAGTGCCTTTGCTGGAGGGACAACTGTGTCCTGAGGCTACCTTGTTGGGGTGCAGGGCAGCCTCTGGGAGCTGCCCCCTTGCCCCCTAGCTCAGGATGGCCTCTGTTGGCCTGAGGCTGTGCCTTTGGGGAATCCCGGCTTCCGTCCCATGGCCATGCGGCATCCCAGGCTGGTGTCAGCGCGGGCCCAGCACACTCCTGTGTCCTTACCTGAGTGCAGGGACACTTTTCTGGGTGACTTCCTGGACTTTATCTCCCGATCTTGCCACGGAGTCCTTCCTCTCCGCGGTCATGGTTTTAGTTTCCAAGAATCCTTTTGGTTCTTTTTTTTTTTTTTTTTTTAATTTGATAGAGATCACAAGTAGTCAGAGAGACAGGCAGGAGGGAGAGGAGGAAGCAGGTTCCCCACTAAGCAGAGAGCCCGATACGGTGCTCGATCCCAGGACCCTGGGATCATGACCTGAGCCGAAG